ATTCTAGATCAGCTAACTTGGGGCTAACTAAGCAAGCTGTATCCGCATACTCGAGATTCTCTAGATGTGCACACAGTGTCCACTGAATTCCGAGTCTGCTATTTAATGATCTTCACATAATGTTATCCAAGCATGAGGCACACCCATTTTACGTCTACTGGTGCTATAGTAGTAGACCATTGTGCAGTATGCGGCATTTTAAGTTATTGTACATTGCTCTTATTAAGTTGAAAATTTAAATAAAAGTTTCCATAAAAGTTTTCTATTGATGATATTAAAGGCACTTTTAAAATCAATAAATATGGCTTAATTAAAGCACGAAACTTGTTACAATGCTCAAATAAAATTCTACCATATGGCTTCTCCCGCATATTGTTTTCTGCTGCTACGGAACTAACAATGATGCAATCGAATCGGAGATGGATTCTGTTTACGGTATCCTTGCACCATCGTTAACCAGAATAAAATATTGGAAAACTGAATTTAAAAGTGGTAGTACGAGAGGTTTTAATGAAAAGCGAGTATCCGGGTCTACAAAAAGAGGTCACAACTAAAAGAAACATTGAAAAAGTTCACGATATTGTTTTGAATGTTCCAAAAATTAAATTGCGTGAGATAACAGAGATGACAAACATATCACATTAACTTATATCGAATATCTTGCATAAAAACATAAAAAAATATAAGACAAGATGCGGACGATAATGGTAATGGCTGTCTGCTTGTTTAGTTAACTTTAGGGTATGCCATGATTGCAGTCACCTCATGAAATTGTTTTTGCTTTTAATGCAAAATGAAGTAAGCTGTCAGTGCTAAAATTTCATTCTGCATTGAAAGCAAAAACAATCGACGCTTGGTCATAACTGCAATCATTATATACCCAATAGTTGCTGATATTAGACCTTTTTTTTGTAAGCATATCGGAAAAGAACAACATAAATTACGTGATGCAAAACACGTGATAAAATTTAAAGTTAAAATTTTGAGAATGAATAATAATTCTTTGTGTGATTAGTAAGAATATTTTTCTTTACATGATTCTGAATAAAATATGAATTTTGAATATAAATAATAATAAAATAAGAAATAGAAAAAATAACGTATTTGTTGCAAACAATGACGACACGAAATATGAATACTTACGAAATCATTTGTTGACAGTTAACTGAAAATTTCGTAAGTACTTCAAAAGTAGTTCACAATAGACATATTTTCAGTCTTGGCAGCAAAGAATATCTTTACAAGAACGGAAACTCCGCCCACTTCGTGAGAGTGCATTTGAAATTGTTTTTGAAAACTTATTTTTTATAACATTTCGGCACACGTATTAAATACATGTGATCTTACCACGATAACATCAAATTGCTCTCTTTTTGGGGTTGCAGTATAATAATTTGCTACTACTTGTTAATCATATGTTAACTTTTTAGTAATATAAAAAACTTATGCTTCCTTATTTGATTAATAATATTACATTACGTAAACAAAATATATATTGTAACAAGTAATATATGATAAATAAATTTATAAATTAATATATAATAATTTGAATCAATTAATTTAAATCAGTTTAGTTTGTTTAATAATGTAATATATATTCAGTAAATTAATTTTTGTTGCTATTTTCATATGAATTTTATAGTATTTTAATTTATTACGTTCGGCAACAAACTTTTGTAGAAGCAAATTTTTTAATTAAATAAAAACAAACAGTTTTGAATATTTCTTATTTAATGAGTTATATTTTCTTAAATATTTTTTGAGAGTGTAAAACATTATTTCAAAATCAATTTTGATATAATAGCATTAAATACCGTTTTGATGTGAAATTAATAACAAAGATTGAAGCTACTACCAATTCACTTTTTTATACGGCAGCACTTAAGTGATCCATGATAAATAGTGTTTCTCTGCGAAGACTTAATTTTTAAATTTAGTGCCAAAAAATATGTTGATGAGGAAGGGTGTACACGCATTCCCTTTAAATGTGTGGTACGTATCATTGCCTTGCATGCATTTCTAATTGATTAGTAACAATAAATCTGTTGATAAGGGAGGATGTGCGCGCATCCGCTCTAAATGTATGTGGTGAATAATACTTATTATTAATTTACGTACATTAGTGTGTGATCAGTAGCGAAAAATCTATTGATAAGAGTGGGTGCATGCGCATTCATTGTCGGATTTATGCGTTTTTCTTATGAAGATATGTTTTTATATAATTTTTAACAATTTTTAAATTTTAATATTGAAAAATTTTAATTTTATATTATGATTATAAAATATATTTATATATAAATACTAAAGTATTTAAAAATATTAGCTAAGTTTAATTAAAGGAAGTACAAGTTGTTTACATAATTTATTATTGTTAGGAAATGAAATAGACTTGATTATTTACCAGAATTAATGCAAGATTTAAACGAGATGTATGCTATACATTTTTAGTTCATCTGCTTGATGAATATTATAAATTTTTACATAATATAAATATTAAAAACATTTATTTTATTTGTGTTGATTATGTATAGAATATATGAATATTTTCTTCAGAATTTAAATGACCTTAAAAACATAAATTTATTTGGGATATGATTATTATCATGTAGCGCCTTATGTTTATGTTTTAAATATTTTTATCTTAATGTGAACATAAAATGCACACTTACTAATATTTTATAATAAATAGTAAAATACTTTCGTTAAACTGTTTTATTAGAAATATGCATAGAAATTAAATGAAAATTAATTTTCTTTCATCATTATTGTGTGAAATTTTAACAGGAAATACATGCGTACCCTTATAAAAAGAGTTAAAATACTGTCTGTTTTGCAGTTTTGACAGCAAACATATGGACGTATATTTTTTAATTTTTGGTATAAAAATTGTGCTATACCTACTTTTTGGTAACTGCTATTAAAATGTTTGCAAAATTTTAACTACTTTTTGTTAAATATTTGCGCAGTAAATTTTGTATGATTTGGCGCAACGAAATTTTATATTACTCTCAAAAAATCAAAACCAAAAAACAAAACCACACTCTTTCTTACACTCTTCATGGTAAACTTTTTGAAATATTCCGTTCTCAAAAGTACTCGAAGCATCGGAAAAAGGTGAAAAGGTGAAAAATTTCAGTGATTTCAGCTGGTGTTAGTGCACTTTTCACTAACACTTTCAAGAGCTCTACGGCAAATTGTTGTTGTGCGAAAAAACAAATTTTAGTTCACAATGGAGTTGCCGTTCTTGTAAGGTATTCTTTGCTTGGCAGTCATGTGATTCGAGCTGTTTACTAGTTAAGCGATTTCAAAAAGGTTAGACTAAATAAGCCAGCAACGTTGTTTCATATGCTATTTTTCATATATTATTTTTAAAATAAGCGATTGTTCTTTTGTGATATACTTACAAAAGAAAAGACCTATTATTGAATATACTTTCTATCCCCACAGATGGCACGTATCTCTTACACATTTGCCAGATATATTTACAAATTCGAATCGAATCGGTATTATTTTGTACAACTCCTTCGCTATATTTTAAAAAAATAAATTTCAAAAGCAAAAATTTAATTTTAAAAATTGAACCGCATACACACTTGACCATATATATTCAATGCTTTTTACTATCCATTACTACTTTTGAGTAAAATTTGATTAATATTGGTTTCTGTATTTTGGAAAATTTAATTGCATGATAAACCAGCGCCTTTTACATTATATAGAACAAGTCGGTTTATTTTCATTATATTTTTAATTTCTATAACAATATCAATACTTTTTCTGGGTACCACTTTAGCACAGATTTCATTATACTTCAAGTTTTTTGTTAAAATTTTTTTTACCTTATATCCAAATCATCAAAAGTTTAAAAATAAATTTCGTGTAAATAAACTTTTGGTCGAGATTAATTTTTAATCTTCTTAGAAATTGTGATCAATTTTCTGTGCAACTCTGTAAATGCTTAATATCGTAGATTTTTTTACGGTCTTAGAAGAAATGTCTCAATATCGTAGATTTTTTACGATCTTAAAGATATATGCCGAAATCTATTTAAAACAAGCACTGAAAATTTGAGAATTCCGAAGTGAGTGAAATTTCTATTAAATTTGTTTAACAATAGTTTTATACATAAATATAACTAAAACTTGTTAAATTATTGTTATAAAACTATTTATTGAATATATATTATAAATTTTTTTATACAAAATTGCAATTAAATGCTTTAGTCACAGAAATTTATCAAACGTACGAACCAAAACAACAAGAGAAACGTCAAAATTAGATTAAAAATGCAGATGAAATTAATCACGTTCTCTTAATCGCACAATGTAAACGTACTATTAATCTCGTTCTCTTGATCTCACAATGTAAACGTAGTCCGTGTGTGAGTTCGAGTAAATTGAGGTAAAGTGAATGCTTTATTCACAGAAATTTATCAAACGTATGAACCAAAACAGTTCTAGTAAATTGAGGTAAAGTAAATTGAAATTTTCTAGGGATTTCTTGCACTGCACTTATGGAAATATATATATATTGCACTTATTTATTATTTTTGGTTAAAAGTTTTTAAATTTATTTATTAAACATCTCATAACATGATAAAATGTTCACAATGGTAACACAAAATTTTATGTAATTTACCCTACTTGAAATTATTGTAAATACCATCATTCGCTGCCATACCGACATAATTTACTATTTCCCTCAAGTTACCATCACTTTACTCGAACTCGCACACGACCGTAGTATGAAATGATTTGGCAGTTGAAATTTAGTATTTAAGAAAATTACATACGAATTGACAAATTAATTAGCTAAACTATCATAATTTGATATATGATATTTAGCACATAATTGACACTTTAACTTATTAGTTATTTTGTTTATATTATAGCATGCTAAATATGTATCGTAAGGACTCTAATTGTATTCAGCAATGAATGCTAACTTTAACACATTTTTTGTTCAAAATGTTATAGATGTTGGCAGCCCTAAATGATGGTAAATTGACAGCGAGGTTAATTGTTGATGTCTGTTTGGCGTAAGCATCTGTGAGGCGTTTAGTTAACACAACCGGCAGTTTAGTGGATATTTGTGGAATATTTTTGTAAACATCGTTGTTATAATAAAAGTTTTATAATAAAAATAAATTAATACAAATAATTTAGCTGTGTTGTAAAGTTTAGTGTTCTTTTATTGTGTCAAGATTACATTAAAATACAACGAAACTGAGCTTTATGCAATATTAGAATTAAATTAAAATCAAATGTCTTTTGATATTCTTAAATAGTGAAGACATTGTTATTGTTATCCAGAAATGTGATACTGTCTTAAAAACCTGCACTGATTTAAAGTTAAAAATTATAAAGAAAAATAACAGCGTTTCATAAGGTAAGCATTTTAATTATAATTTTTATAGTCTGATGTTTGTAAAACCATGTTGCTACTTTAGATTTTGGAAATATCTATATTGGATTGGTCATCCACAACTAAAATATTTTTTTATCATTAATTGTGATATATGCAGTTGGCATTCATCCATGAACATTACAGCAACGCAAGGCACATACTGAATATATGGAAAACAACAAAATAGTTTGCTTTTAAGCAAAGGCTTTAAATTATAAATTACAATTTTGGATTTTATTTCGCGAATTCAAACTCAAGGAATCCTCAGAGTTTGGATATTCGATCATCAATCAAATTGTAAGTATATGCTAAGCATTTGTATTTTTAGTCCTTTTATTTATTGTTTAATTCACCTTTGTATATGTATGTAAATAAATTATTTGTTTATTTTCCACAACATACAAAACTATGGTTTTATGTGTCGCCTGTACAAAGAAACCTTTTAAAGTGACGACCAAAAATCTTTAAGGAACATCAATTTTTATAGAATTGGTAGTCACAGTAGCGAATAGCCATTAGATAAGGAATCAAGATTTTATGTTAATTTGATATGTCTCAATAATTGATATAATCTCAAAGTTTGGTTGTGTACTTAAAAGACTTGAGTTCAATAATGGATACTGAAAAACAGTGTTCTTTTGTTGTGTTTAGTTTTAATCTAAATATTAAATTATTATAATTTATAATAATATATTTTTAAATTTTCTAGTTCGTTATATAGCGATGCATTTGGACATTTGGACGCTGTAGAATCAATATACTGGAAGTATGACGATTTCAATGCCAGGACATGTTATTTATATAAATATTTTGAAATGTCAGAAATAATGAAATCTTATGTATTCCAAATTACATTATATTGGTATTTAAAGAATTGTAAATTAAAAACGACAAACTTCCGATAAATATACATGTATTAAAATAATATATAAAAACAATAATAAACTATAATAAACCTTAATCACCCTAAGTATGACGCTGTGATCAAATCTATTGGAATAATCAGTCACAAATTAATGCAGCACGTGCTCTTAACATGTACGTATTTTATTTATTTTTTAAAATTGATTTATTTATCCTTATATTTCCAGAGAAAAGAAGTAAAGTATTACTACACTATATTGTAATTGTTTGCTGATACATTGTGGAAATGTTTAACTTAAATATACATTAAATACTATGTTGAGGTTGGATTGACGATCAAAACATGTAATGGATTTTGTACTACGAAATTGAAATCGTAAGTTTAAACAATTTTTTTTTTGATTTTATTATTTATGTTGTTAAAGACTTATATGAAAATAACTAAAAAACCTCTTAGTTGAGATATCATACTTTATTTTTATTTATGTAGTTATTGTCTATATAAATATCCACAACATTTCGATGTCTATTTGACTTCCTCCTCAAGGCGGAATATGTTATTATAATTGATTATGAAAACATAAAAAAATAACCAACTAGTTGTTGTTTATTTAGTTTTACGCAAACCATTAATAACTTAAATAATATTGTTAAATAAGCAAACTATTAACTATTTCAATTTTTTATTTTGTTTGGTAATAATTTATATTAGAAATAATAAATTTTTTTTTGTTTACAGACTTTCCAACGTATCATTCGTTGTTATGTTGAAACATATTTTTTTAATGATCCTGTCCTATTATATTGTCAACTACTGTCTCAATGAAGTGTTAAATTATTGTGGACATAATAGTTTACTGGAACAATACTTAAACGCAACGTAAAACAAATAACAATGGAACAACATTATCTTCAAAAAAAATCAAAACGAAAGCAAGTCATCCAAAGCTAAGTGCATGTTTTTTATACTTATATATTTATTTTTAATGTGATGGACTATATAAAATTCAATAGTTACTACCTGAAAATATGTTTAAAAATTGTTTGAAAATATTTAAAATCAAAGAAACTTAATATTACATAAAGTTTAAATAAAATTCTGTTTGAAAAAATTGGTTTCTATAACAATTTTTATACTCGCTGCCAGTGTTATATTGTTAACTTAGTTTTTAGTGTATAGCAATCTGCCTTTAAGTTCATAAAAACTATTTAAACATTTATTTAAAATAATAACTTATATTAAATTACATTAGTTTAAGTTTCTTTGATTTTAATATCACATTATTATCTATTATTATTATTTAATGAAATAAAACACAAAATAAGCAAAGAAAAAAAATTCACAAATCGTTAAGAAATATTGTCATAAAAAAAAATAACACCAAAGAGTTTATTAGTTAATAAATTTAACTAATTTTTATATTAAATAATTAATTATATATTTAAAGTAATTGCAGATTCAAATTTAATACATTTAACTCATTTGAGAAATAAGAAAAATTAACTCTTATATTTATCTTATCTTGAATAATAAAATATCATTGTAATATAAATAGGATATAATTATTGAATTTAATTTGAATTCCATTTCAAATTCGTTTATTAATGTATTCATACCATGTATGCAAATTAATTTATTCAAAATCAAATTTTGTTTTTTTTAAAAAATATTTTATTTTCTATTTTATATTTTACAATTTATAAGTTACATTTTCTTATTACAATTCATGAGTTAAGAAGTGGTTTTAATTTAACAATGAAATTATAAACAATTTTGTTTTATAATAGGATACTTCATATATATTACGATTAAATCATTATTTTGAAGAACTTTAAAGTTTGAAACGTCCATTAAGTCAGTTAGAGTAACGGTGTCATGTTCGTGTTTAGTTATGTACTGAATTTCTTTTAAATTTAGAATGGCTGTATTGTGAGTTTCGATTTTTGCTAACATTATGGTTTGTAATATGTTTTCTATTTCGTCCATTATTAATTTATTTCGTTGTTTTGTCATTCTGAAAAACTGGGTGTTACTGTTCAAGTTCTTTATAATTGTATTTAGTACAGTTATTGCTTTAAAAATTGTCGAGTTTGTAATAAATTGTTGGTTATTATTCTGTACTAGTTCTTCTATTTTATTTTTAATTTTAACAAAGTCAGCGTGGTCAGGTGAACCTGCAATTCACTTCCATAAGGTCATTATTTCATTGATTTCTCGTCTATTTCTGTAAATTTTTATTCTGTGTAAAAGGTGTTTTGATTATATAAATATCAGTGTCAATGTTGACATAGTTGATTTTATTATCCGTGTTGACAAAATCCATTTTTAATCTATCTAATGTGTGTTAAACTTGTTCTATTATGTTAGCATAATATGTTAAGTTAATTATATGATCATAGATTGCTGCTTTACCGTACAAAGTACAAAGTCTTCTCGTGTATAATCTGCTATATCCGTTGTGACCATTGTTATCAAAATCATTATTATAAATAGTTACATTATCTAAAAATTAATTAGATTTTAATATTGTCTATGAATTAATCTGTTTTTTTTATATATTCTAACTTTTTTTTCCTAAATTCTCTTCTATATTTTGTTTTCTAAATTTGGGTTTGAGATTGTTTCTATTATTTTTTTTAATTTAATAGTTGCTTTGATTGCTTTTTCGTCTAAATTAATCTGTATTTTTTTGGACATGTGCTGCGAAACTCTTCCATTCTCACCGGATAAATATTTGGTAAGAATTTGGTTAGGGTATTAACTTACATACCCAGCAGCGCCTGCGCTAGTCAATTCACTAGTCCCCAGCTGTATAGTACTAGTCGCTTCATAATTCACTTTATGTGAGTTCAACTGGTGAATTTTACATTGAGTTGTCATTGGCGGTGTCAATTGTCCCCGTAGGATACACCTCGGAACTAAGTTTTTCACTAGTTCATAATGGGTAGAATGATGTAAATTGTACCTGCACTATATACCGCAGCACTAGTATTTTTACTAATTTTTGATTTGGTAAATAAATAAAACATGCATTTTATATATTAATTTATATATATATATATTTAAATATATATACATATATTTAAATATATATACAAATTAATGATATCGCTATCACGGTTGTATTAAAAAATATATTTATTTATTATTCGACGGAATTCACTTCCGACCGCGTTCACCGTGCAAACAATATAAAAACTTAAAACTAGCTTAAAACTAAAAACCCTTAAACTTCAAAGGTTCTACATTTTACGATATTTACTGGTAAACTCTTTTCCGACAATCCCCCCAAAGTGAGCGATGCTCTTGCTTTTATATTCAAATGATCTGAGCTTACAAATAAAACTTTTTACTCAAAGCTTGCTCAGATCGTAATTTAAATTCTAACTTGTTCTCTATATTTTCTCTTACAAAATAACTTTCTGTTTTATACTTAACCCTACAAAGTGAGAGCATGCGATAACATACATATATGTAAGATAATTTATAGTATAATATAAATACAAAATAGTTATTTAGATATAATTGTAATTGAAACTACACAACAGTTATTTAGATATAATTAAATTGAAAAAGAAATCCACTATTCGACTGCTACCACTTTACAACTTCACTTTCAACTTCTCTGTTCGGACGCTTATCTTCGACTGACTGCTGCTGTCTTTCCATTCTCCCTCCTTCGCATACTGCTGACACAGTGATGCCACCCTTTTACATATATATGTAGTAAATTATTTATTAATGTTGATGGGGTTGGTTTCACAAAGGTTACAAATTTATAATTACATCAAATCGTTTTTAATTTAAAATAATTATATATAAATCCCTTTTCAATGAAATTTTAGCGAAATCAAATATCGAACTCTAATTGATTTGCCATAATATAATTTATCAAAAATATATACTACTCAAATAGAATACCAGCTTAACATCTTACGAGTACACCAGCTTAGCGACGACTGATTTCTCCTGCACTCATTATTCGCAACTGACCCTTTGCATGCAAACCAGTTTGAGTGCATATTTAACTGTTTACATATATATTAAATATTATTATATTAATAAATTACTTTCTAGATGATTGTGCTGTAGTTATATTAGATCGTCTAAGGATTTAACTGATGATCTATATGTGATGTTGAAAGATTGTCTTTAACGAAAAAAAAAAATTTGATTTAACGCTATTATTTTAACTGAATTTGGTACTTACATAGAGTTTAGACACATTCATTCGTATTCACAGTCCACTAAGCATATTGTTGTATGTTTTTACGTATTCGCCTTATCAACGCTCTATTGTGAAAGAGGCTTAATATTAAAATCAAGAGAACGAAGCGTATTGCTCTCAATTTGTTTATAGAAAACAAGCATAAACAGTGGATTTTTGTTTCAACTGATAAATGTTGCATTTTCAGGGGTCAGAATAATATACTGCACTGTTAAACTTTGTGTAAAAAAAGTATTGAGAAATTTATATTGTAGTGCCGATTTATTTTATTAAAAGTCTGTTAATTAGGTGTTTCTTATTCATACTGATTTTATTTAGGTTTTTAGTTCTTAAACTTACTTGAACGGTAGTGTGCATATACCGAGACTTGCAGGCTCAGCATTTACGTCTCGCGTAGGATGGTCAACGTTTTTAAGTAAAAAAACAAGATATCATATTTCAGTGCATAAACTTTTACAGTTTAGCGTTGGAATAGAAAATATTAAAAGATAGCGCGGCAGCAAAAAAGCCAAAGCATGTACACACCACAATATATTCTAAGTGACAATTTAACTCATCCCCACGGATCACTCCTTTCACTAGTTTCTTTGGACTACTTCGTGTACTAGTGCCTAGCGACAATTCTCTGCCTAAGAACTGCTAGGTAGCTTCTAGTTCATAAATTAAAAATAAGCCAAAGACGAAGTAAAGTTTTTTGGTACGGACTGGATAGAAAAATACTTTTTCTATTCTTCTTTGTCATGGCACACTTACTGAATATCTTTGTATGCCAGGGTAATTGAAGCATTATTGTTGAAGGTGATGCATGGACTTGTGTGTGTTCACGACAACCAGCTTTTTTGAGTCTTCTTCTAACTCCAGCTGTAAGTATGCATCCTTTAAGTCAATTTTAGAGAAAATGCGGCCATAGCGAATTTTATGAAATAACTGCTCCCGTGTTGGTAATGGAAACCGTTCAATTTCGATTTGACTATTAATAGTTACTTTAAAATCCCCGCAAATACGAATACTGCCGTCCTGCTTTGGTGCGAGTACGATTGGAGAAGCCCAATTGCTGAACTTAACAGGTTTTCAAATACTTTTTTGCACTAGTCGATCAGCTTCCACGTGTTGTTTAATAGAATTTGTAGCATTTGTCGTCGAAGTAAAAGACTCTGCAATTAATAAAACATCTTCCAATGTAGGTTTTAATTTCTGAAGTGCCGCTGCTCTTACGGTGTCATGAGGTGATGCAGAATTAACATGTCCCTAATCATTTCATCAACGTATGATTTGGTACGATTTTCACCTATACATTGAAATTGGCATTCTCTAGCTATTCCTCTTAAATCAGCTACCCATTCCCTGTATGTTTGCGTTGGCTTCATCAAGCACTTATTAAAATTATATCGCGCTGCTACCACATGAATTTGTTCTTGGAAATGTTCCGCCAGCTTTTGCACCAACTCAGCAAATGGAATGCCCTCCAAATCATTCTTCCCGAATAATTTTATCAATAACTCAAAAGTCTCACCACCAACCCATGTTAAAAAAAACGCTTTCTTTTTGAGCTCTGTGGTGACTGCATACGCCGAAAAATGTTGAGTCATCTGCTGCATGTAGGATTCCCACTTAGTGTGCTCCTTTCCGAATGCTGGAAATGTTGGAACCAATGTACCTTCATTAGTACTTGAAGTGACTCCCCGTAGTATTGTTTGTAAAAATCCTTTCTGGTCATCCAAAAGGCTTTTCATAAAAGCGTTCTGATCCGCTATTATCTTAGCAAACTCGTTTGCTATATTG